AATTCCAATTTACCGAATCTCAACTGTATAAAATGTAATGCACACATGGCGTATGCAGAAATATGCAAAAAAGGGAAGTTCACATTGCGTATACGCGGTGTTGGACCGGCAACCAGGCAAAATGGAAAGACAGTCAGCCAGGCAGGCACACCAATAGTTAGATAGATAGAAAGATAGACCGAGGAGGCAGAACAGACAAATACCCGTGCTAGAAATCAATCTCAGATAGACGGATGGATGGAGCAGCAATCGACATGTGAATTTTTGTGCAAATTGAAACACGCTTCTGATACGTGCAGGCAAATAAAATAGTTCACGGCGGACAGGGAGGGAGTGATAGGGCTCAGGGTAAAAGTGCAGTGAGAGTACGGGGATTGAGCAAACAAACAAAGGGAATGCAAACAAATCTGTTACTGGAAAACACGCAATAAACTATGCAATGCGAGGGTCGAGGATTGGTAACACAAAGCTCGCTACAAACACTCAAACTCACTGAGTAACCCTCGCAGCTCGGAACTTGCAATGGTGTGACAGACAAAGGTGTGCAATCGCCGCTTCGACTCTGTAAACATTTCAATTATTCTGATCTATAGATACTGTTTTTTATTACGCTTCTGCCTGCTATCTTAATTAATTTGATAAACACAATCTTGCCTGATTTCAGAAATCTCTGCCGTTGAGGTCATTTTCTTATCTTATTTTATCATTTGCACTTGAAAATAATTCTGTGAGCTTAATGATTGTGAAAAGAGTGTTTAATCACAATAGTAGTTATGTATATTCTCAGTTAATCAGCACTAATATTCTTACTAATAATCGAATAAATAATACATATGTTATTTATTTATTTTGTATAAAGTTTACCCTTAGAGAAAGATAACAGCCCAGACTTTTACAAACGATTTCGGATGACGTCTTTGTTGTTTGTGTTATCAAGTGGAAACATTTGCTAATAAGCCCCTACAAAATCTATACTATATATACGAGTACTTTATAATTGCGATTTTTATGACGTGTTGAGATTAAAATTTAATCACAACTCATGCCGAATAAGCTGCTATAGGAAAGTGCCTGGAGAACGAGTAGACCTGCATGTTTTAGTATTTTTGAGCGTTGCATTTTAGCCAAGGGGTTGCGGACCACCCGGCTTGTGATTCATTCAATTCATTGGCCAGTCAGGTACTCCAACCACCAACCATCAATCCATCCATCCATCCATCAGCTGGGCAGTTTGGGGGGCTGTCGCAATCGGTCGGACCGCATTGCCATGGCCATGCATCAGAATGGCAGCCAAGCGTTTTTGGAGCCAAGTGTGGTGCTCGTAAAAAAACTAAAAAAAAAACTAGTCTGAGAGTAGCATCCTACGAATTTTGTTTTCATCTCAATCATTTTTTAGGAGTGGCGAAAAAATCGGAAGAGCGGAGTTCGGCCCGAATAACAACCAATTTATTTGGCCACGCTGCAAATTGTTACCCAACTCGCATTCGATCACCATCATCAACGTCATCATCGCCAGGTCCTGACCCAATGCTCTTGCTCCTTTGGTTCCTCTTTTGCTCCTGGTCGACCAACCAGTACTCGTCCTCGTCGTCGTCATCATCAAAAATCGTTGATTGCAACAAAACAAATTGCATTTTAAGGAGATTACTTGTCGGACCGTCTGCTCTAGATGAATAGTCGAGTGCTCCTGCCATCGAGTGGGTTTTGGTCTATGGTCGATGGTCTCTTGTCCCAGTCCCTGTCTTTACCATTCAATCCCCCCAATCAGTCTAGTCCGCTTGGGTATTCGGTCATGTGTGCGGTGGAGTGGCCGATTTTTTAATAAATCATGGCGCATTAGTATTGGCTGCACAAAAAATGCACTTCCCCTCTCACTCTCTTTTCCTATATATAGTATTTTTTTTAGCAGCGGGATTTCCGTAAATTGGCAAGCATCAATCGAGTTGGCCAGTCGATTCGGACTTTTGTAAGGTCACATATTGTGAAACCTGATATGGATTACGAATGATGCTCGCAGATGAATTGAAAACAACGGAAATTGGCCATTTTCTAACCAAGATGTCAAGGAACCATTAGCATATAAATAGGGCAGCAACATATTCATCAATGGAGTGTCCTGTGTGAAGGTTTTTTTGAACACAAAATTGCGACAAATTGTTAACTTTGTCTAAACAATTTGAACGAATCAACAAGCAATCTGTCATATTTAAACTTTATTTGCTAGACTGGGGCCTTATGAAAAGTGAAAGCAGCTTAAAAAGAGATTTGAAATATAACAAAAGGTTAGAAAAGTAAGTAAACACCAAGCCTTTAAACAACTTATAATAAATATAAAGTTAACTAAATCGATATAACCAGGATTTCTTCACAGCACATCTTAAACAATTACCCTAAAAGCAGGTTATTGCAGGACTCAACCTTGCAAATGATATGCGTACCAAATAAGTGTCCCCTTTGGTGTAGTAAAACCGTTTGAATATGACATTATGATCTGGGCAAAAGCTGTTTACAAAACGCCCGCTCGAGAGCTGCTAATAAAACCAAATCCACGCCCAGCTAAACGCATTCGCTTCTCGGGCAACCAGAACAACAACAACAACAACAAAAAAGATGGCCAATAAAAAGTCGGGAATGGTAAAAAATGCATGATTCAAGCCGTAAAAAAAGGAGCCAAAACGACCGAGACAGCCGTTGTGCTCGGTAAAAGGACAACGCGGCGTACATTTCCATGAGTCACCAGCTTGCTTTTGGGTGGCTACTTTGGGAGGGGTTTTCCACACGCACGCAAAGGTAATGCTAGAAAGCCAACGGAAAATCAAAAAAAAATAAAATCAGCTTAGGCTGGAGTCCGAATTTTTCTAGAGGGAAGTTACCCTACCCAAAAAAGAAAGCATAAATTGGCAAAATAAATGCAAATGCCTGTGTGCGTTAGCGAGAATGTGGCCTAGTCGCGGACAACGCTGCGCATTAGTAATGTAATTTGATTTGATTTTTATGTTCTGGTGCTTGCGGCCAAAGCCAGCATCAAAACGGCCTTCATTCCGGCCATTTTATTCCGGGGGTAACAGGATTTTTATGTCCGCCTAATGGCCATAAACACACGAACACGGAATTATCGCAGCTGCCATGCTAATTGTGAACAAGTGATTAAGTTTAATTGCAAGTGAGATAAAACTACGGCACTTGCGGCCTTTCCCAGATCGAAATGCCCTATATATACGGCCATATCTCCTATATATATGCTTGTATAAAATATATATATATGGGAAGCCGCAGCAGCCATCAATCATGAATACAAAAATATGCCGCCAGCACTTGGGGGCTAAGCGGCTTTGTTATGCAAATTTGTAACTCTCTGAGGGGAAAATTGGAGTGTCAAGGGGTCAGGTCAGAGTCAGCCTCTGACTACACAGTCTGTAATAAAAATTCACAAGTCAAAAGTCTGCAATTGGCAAACATTTCGAAAGCCACTTTGCAATACGGATTAAATTTCCAAGAGAGCACAATGGCCAAAGTTATTGCAAAATATTTCTGGCTTACAATTAAATGCTGATAAAAATACGAATGTTTTTAGTTTTGTTTTTAGTTTTGCTGTCCAGTTGTTATTTACAATTAAACTGGCCATGCATATTTCTAATTTATTTTTGGCCAAAATTGTGTGAATCAAAATATTGCACATTGTTCATCCAATTTGATTGCACAAACTGTAAAAATAATTTCGCAAAAACATAGGAAAATTTGAAATAGCAAACAATGGGTTAGTTGAAATTCTACTACTCTTGGCCCCATCTCTACTCGATGGCTTTTGCAAATTGAAACTAATTAAAGCCGAGTAATGAATTTATATCTGACGATGTGCTCTGCTCTGCAATTGTTGAATGTGGTTGGGTTTCGGATTGGAATTGGGATTGGGTTTTGGTATTGGTATTGGTATTGGGATTCCGATTGGTTCTCCAACGGGAAAGCCGCCTCTGAGCGATGGACAGACAGACCGACAAGCCAATTCAGACAATCGCATTTCGAGTTGTTAAAGCGGTTTTGGGGGCTTTGATTAATTGCATTGTAATTTGCAATTACAGTAAATTTAATAATTGCCACTCAATTCAATTCAGCTGAGTTCGGACATTCAGCAGGCAATGGGAACTCTATTACGCGTGTCGAAATGAACTTATTAAAATAACTGAACAAAAGGAATACCTATCCAATCTCCCATGTCGCGTGTTAAGTGCAGTTAATATCCATTAATTATCTGATGGCAACAAAGATGCAAAAATAAACGTAAATCAATTGATTATTGCCATTTTTATAGCAGAAATCGAAAGATAAATTCAATGTATATAAAGTTCAGTGATTGTTAAGCTCATTATTTGCGAAATCGAATTTATTAACGATGGCTTTTCAATGGCTTAAGTATTGAAAGATTAACAATGTTGATATAAAATGAAACTCTAGGAAAGTCTGATAAGTTTTTTACCCACAATCTCGCTGTTTAATCTTGATTTGATAAGAAACCAAACATAAAATATATTTGCCCAATAAAGTGGTGAAATAATGGCTGAGATTACTAGCAATATTACCAATCTTGCAGCTAAGATTTAGATCAAACGGAAGGGGAATAAGATAGTGTAAATTATATAAAAATTAACCCACTATATGCACAAGCAAATACTTTTTTTTTAATGTATTTGCCTGAGATAACAATGACTGATATCTATGAAATGTTTAGCAGTCTACCATTCAACCTACTTCGCATGTACTTAGCCCACTTGTATTGAACTTAACTTACTCATCGCACATTATCGGCAATATGGCAAGTAAATAAATTCACACGATTTGCCAGACAGATATGTAGATGTATGTGGAGTTATACTAGAGATCGTCTACGATAACTCTCAATGGGGCAGCAAATACAAGTGGGCGGCATTTCGAAATGCTCAAAAAAAATAAAGTGGGGCCAGGGTCAGGGGAGTGTTACACGACAATAGCAAATAAAAACTCACCTCGCTGCAGATTGTGTGTTTAATTTAAACGATGAGTTGCCAGCAGCAGAAACAGAAACATTGACCTCGGAACACTTTTCGACACTCGCCTTCGATGATGATTAAATACTTTTCGATTACACGCGTTAATTTCACGGAAACTAAAGTTATATTTTTTTTAAGATTTTTAGTTAAAAGAGCAATAGATTAACAGGGTTTTTTAAAATAGCAAGCACTGATCATTGGTTTGTTTTCACTTGTTTGTTGAGTTTGTTTTGTAGCTAGAATGGAGTATCAAATATTTAATTTTTATAACAATTAGTTCTGGATTTGGAGTTTGTTTTAACAAGTTTTTAGGTTTATTATACGGATATATGCTTTTTGTTTGATTTATGAAACTACCTCACGGATATTTGTTTAACTAAAATCTTGAAAGAACCAACATCCTACATATCTTTTGTTTCTGGTACTTGAGTTTACATTCAAATTGAGTTTACTGATATTTGTTTTTCTGAAATTTCGCGCCTGATAAATATTTATTAAATTCCCGATCTGGAATTCAGAATTTAATACTTTTTCGGGGAACAACACTTAAACAGCTGAACTCGCCGAAAGTGTAATAACATTTCAACGACCTACAAATGCAGGCCGAATAAAAATGATTTAAGTTAATGTGTTAGTCGCAGCTACTAAATGAAAAGCACTGAGATTGAGGTGTAAAATGTGGTAATTCCGAATAATAAAAGCCTGAGACCAGGTAAAAAAAAACAAAAAGAAAAACAAAACAAAACTGGTTTTTTTTCTGATAATAACAAAGATGGAAGCAACAAAAAGGAGAGAAGAGAGAGATAAACCGGAAAGCTAGATGCAAATGAAAAAAAAAAACTAATTCAGAAAGCAAAAGCAGCGGCATACTCTAACTGTATTTCTTTATAAAAAACTTATTTCAAGAAATCCACCCAAGCACATGTGGTTGCAAGGCGACAAACAAACAAACATACAAACACATGCATCATCTGTTTGTAAAATATTCAATGGAATCCAGTCACGACCCGCCGACGCAAAGGCAATTTGCAAAGACAGTCTCGCAATCGCAAAGCAAAAACGGAAAACACAATCAAAGCGATGAAGTAAAAACAATTAAATTCAGTTGCATGAAACTAAATTTAAACCGTTTGGCAAAACGAAAATAAAACATTTGTAGCCATTTATTGATATTTTAAAATTTGTTTTTTTTTTGGCGTCACTGACACAGTTCGCGCTCTCTGGCTCTCTTTTATTTGCCTTTTCTTTTGTTGCTTTGCATGTGTGTTTCCCTTTTTTAAGTTGTTTTTGTTTTGTCGTGTTTGTTGCTTCTTTTTTCTTGGGTCTTCCACTCTCTCTCTATCTCTCTTGTACAAAAAGAATGAGAAACAAAATCAAAATTCTCTGAATATTTCTTTCTTTTTTATTGTCTGGCGAGAGTAAAGGAAAAAATAACAACAACAAACGCCAACGCGCCTTCACACGCACACGAACATACGAGCAAACACAATCAGACACACATTTACACTCACACACTTGCACAGTTCAAATTAGTTGAGGCAACAACAATAAGCGATGACTATTGTTATTTAAACACTGGTGCTTTTTTCTTTCGCTGCCCTGCAAAAGCCACGCGACAATTGTTATATTTCAACAACGTTTTAATGAATAAACCTTTAAAATCACTAAAAACATTTAAATCAGCACAGTTTCGCTTAGCAAAGGCAATTACAAGACCAAACACTTGAGGGCGCCGCGACGAGTGGGAAAGAGACGGCAGAGCTAAAGACAAAGACAGCTGAGAATACGTGGAAGCGGCGATTTTCGATTTGTTTTGTTTTTGGTTGTGATTTTGAATGTAATTTCGGGTTTTTGTTCTATTTAAATCCTTAAATTAACAGAATTTCAAAATACAAAAATGTTTTTAAAACTATTAATATAAAAAAGTTATTTTTAAACACAGTCAACAGCAATATGTCTTGATATATTTCTCGGCGATTTATCGGATTCACCGATGTTTTAGCTTGTCACATGTTATTTCTTTTTGATGTGATTAAGGAATCGTAGGAATTTACCAATGTTTTTCGTCTTTATATTTTTGAACGGTTAACGAAACAACGTGCTCTCCCGAATTTAATTGAAATGCGCGCCTCCGATGCAAAAAATGGAATGAACCCGACGCAAAATTGAAATGAAAACAAACTGAGGGCGGTGTGTCCGAATTTTGAATAGGTAGAAAAACCATGCGGAAATGTAAGCGTGATTTCTAACAGCGCTCTGTTCGGTGGATTGTTTTCTACTTCTCATGAGGTCACACTCTTTTAACCGCTAATGGTTCTGTCAATCTGTGAATGTTTCTACCTTAAGGATAGGAAAAACAAAATCAACAACTATTGTTAATGAGCAAAACGATTTTATTTTATTATTTTTATATACTTTATAATTTTCTTTATTTTCGTGTAGTGCTTGGTCTTCTCATGTAGTGTCTTAAAGCCATCGTTAAGATCTTTCTGTTAACCGCTAAAAAGTAGATGGCAACGACGGCGGTTTCCCGCCAAAAGCCATTATCATTTCAAAAACAAATATTAAACTTCGCAAGGCATTACCAACATGAAGTTTTAAAAGATGTATTCTATATATTTTAACGTATTTTTTCAATTTAAAATTTTTTTTTTTTTCAATTTAAAGATATATATTTCTATTTAATTTCGTTATTTCCTAAAGTTAGCTGAAATATTCTTTAAGCCTAATGGATTTTTAGCACAGAATATGTCTTAGTCTACGGAATAAAGATATTAATTACGACTAAAAGAATTTATTTTTCTTAGAAAAACCATTTTCCCGCCAAGTTGAAAGTGTGGCCGGTTTACGTTGCCACCTGGTTAGGGCTTGTGGTATTGCCGAATTTAAAGTCGGCGGGCACTCTGCATCTCCAGCTGATCGATCAAACAAAAAATATTGATACACAGGAATTGAAGAAAAAATGCTCTACATTTAGAAAGAGAAAGTGATTATAAGCTCTCACGAAATGGACAAGAATCTGGATGAGGTGGGTACACAACTTGAATAACATGTAGAACTTTGATTGACTAATTTTTCTATATTTCATCCTGTTTTCTGATACACGCCCCTTTTTCATCGCTCAGGTCAAAGGCACCGTGCAAAAGAAGTTCAATGAAATCCGTGCAGCACTACATATGCGCGAAAAGTTGCTCCTGCGGCAACTGGAGGTCATAGCAAATACTCGACAGCAGCAGCAGTTGCTGAAAAAATCTACCTCTGCAGTAGAGAACTCAGATATAAAGAAGGAACAAAGTGGAGTGCGATTTATCCCTGGGGAAGACGAAGATGCGGAGGAGAAGCTACTGGCCGCTATTAGGAGCTACGGTCACTTCCTGCTGGACAACAGTGACATGCAGCTGGCGCTGCAGGATTATCGCACCACAGGGTTAAGGAACGAGGATTATATAGAGCCTTTAGATGACCACGAAACCATGTACAAGTGCCTGCAGGATGGGCAAGTATCATATCTCGATCTGGACGAAGATGGAGCCCCACCGGAGGCCATTGTGGTGGACTTTTCCCGCAATAGATCTCTGGTAGAAGACAATGCTAAGCGCTCCATCATCAACATAACTCTGCAGGAAGCCAAGGATCTGATAAAGAAGGCCAAGATTAAAAGGGAAACCTATGTGCCACCATTGAACTTGGAGGAACTCGATGACGAGTTGGAGTCGTCGATTGCTGAAGCTGTATCTAGCTTGGGCCGAGAAACCTCTGTCAAATCAAAAATCAGCGTGCAAGAACCACCGAAAACCAAGAGCCGCAAACAGCGCTTCAAGCCAAAGATCACCATCAACAACTGCAATGGCACTATCAACCTACGCAATATTGCCAGCTTGACGATTAACTGCGCCAGCGAAGAGGCAGTCAGTGCGGAGATTCCTTTGGCAAAATCAGCTGATTCCAGTACCACCGAACCCTCGAATTCGACGCCCACGACCACCGCCTCCAGTTCCAATTACTCCAGTAATGCCAGCTCCCGTTCGCAATCCAAAAAGCAAAAGGCAAACAAAAAGCAGGAGAAGATTGAGCGCGAACCTAGCTCTGATTCCACGCCTACGCCTGGCCAAGCCCAACGCTACGAAGAGACCGAGATTCACGATGTCACTTGCGATTTCTACAATCGCCTCCTCAACGAGATCAAGAAGAGCATGGTGGAAAAGCCGCGCAGGACTTACCACCAAGTGGCAGAGCCAGTACAAGCTGCGGCTGCCGATTCCAGCTGCGATGCCAATTCCAATCCTAGGCAAACGGCTCCCAAGCAGGAGCCAGTATCCACCACCACAACCACATCCCTAACTCAAAGCGAATCGGGACCGCAAGTGCAGCCGGGCAAGAGGCTAATCCTTAAGAACTTTGAAAACCTTAAGATCATCCTAGAGGCAAACAGTGGCGATGAGGACTCATTCCATCCTGTCCAGATCGAACAATGGCTGGCGGAAATCATCTCAGAAACGGATTTGGAGCCCATGCAAAACACAGATATCCTGGAGCACAGCCGCATCCATAGCAGCGAGAGTCCCTAAAGCTGGGGTTGCACTATATTCCGAAATATTTATCCTTAAAGCACTCAGTATTTTCTCTTCATTATGTGTAGCTATAGTTTCCTTAACTTGTTTTTAATTTTAGTTAGTTTTGATTTCATTAGAGAGATTTAATCATGTTTTTAGTTCCATTTTAAACTAATTTTGGCGGAAATAGAGTTTTAGACATGTTATATAGATCATTTTCCTATCTTAAATCGAATATTTCAAAGTTTACGTTCCAAGGAATGAAATGCATTAACTTTCGTTAATTGGAAAACGAAGTTAGTATTAAGCAACAAATAAGATAATATTTCATAATTTAGTTATATTTCAATAACCTTTTCCGCCAAATTTTAAACCGAAAACAAAAACCTGCCCTATTATTTTATGTACTTAATGCATTTGATTTTGTGATTTTTATCCTTTTGTAAGACTTGAACTCGTACCAATCTAGCAAGTAAGCTCCAGGCAGTGTTCAGTGCTCACCGTAGCCCATTTGTAAATGCAATCGAAGAGACCACATTAAAGTGTTAATTGCCATCACAAAACGAAAAGCTTTTGCTTAACACTTTTGGTTTGCCGTCAGTGGATCGACCGGTTCGACCGCTCGAATTTCGCCATGCAATTGAAATTCGAAGTGTACCCTGGCCCATTAGAATTCCAAATCTGGACGATTGATAAGACCATTAAAATATACATTCTAGTTTGTCTGTGTGTGTATTTGCGCGTATGGAGGGTGGCACTCTAACTAAAAGCACTAGTAATGGTGAGTGAAGATTAGAGTGGACCTCTGTGGTATGTAAAGTTGAAGGTGATACCTTGTATATCAAAAACATTGATTGTAATGCTTATCGTTCATATGTAAGTAATAGCCATTAAGTCTTGTTTGCTTAGTTCATTAATTAAACGTTGTGGTCCCTAAAACCAAGTCAAAATTTGATCATCTGCATATAAAAATGTATAAGTTTAAACTTTAAACTCGTGTCTATGAAGTGCTCTATAAAAATATTTAAAAACATATTCTCTACTATTCCACTATATCTTATAAAAAGTTAAAGTTAACTAATTGCAGCTTTACCAAGTCCACTCTAATCTATATGATAATGTTTTCAAGTCATCGAAATTACACTTTTGAGGTAGATAATTACTTGACCTTTCCGATAATGTCCAGCAAGAAAGGCGTATAGTAGGTGATGATGCAATCTGCACCAGCTCTTCGGAAACCCTTCATAGCTTCCAGCACGGCCTCCTGGAGGTCAAAAGCACCAGCCTTGGCTGCATGGTACAGCATAGCGTACTCGCCGGACACTTGGTAAACGTACAGCGTATGATATGGGTAGGAATCCTTAGTGGATCGCAGGATATCTAGATACGGCATGCCAGGTTTCACCATCAGCATATCTGCTCCCTCGGCGACATCACGTTGGATGGCTCGCATTGCCAAGCTTCTGGAACCACTGGGCAGTTGATAGCACCTTCGGTCACCGAATTTAGGAGCAGATTGAGCTGCCTCCCGGAAGGGTCCATAGAAATTGGAGGTAAATTTCGCAGAATAGGCCAGCAAGGAGACGCTGTTCATTTCGGCATCAATAAGGGCTTGCTTAATAGCCTTCACCCGGTTGTCCATCATGTCCGAAGGAGCCACAATATGGGCACCAGCTTTAGCGTAAGCCGCGGCAATCTCGGCTATCCTCTTGATGCTGGGACCATTTTCCAGTCCCGTTTCCCCCAGGAGGCCACAGTGGCCATGCGAGGAGTACGGGCAGATGCACACATCGCAGGCTATCAGGAGATCTGGAAACCATTCCCGGAGCTTTGGCAGAGCTCGAACCACGGGATTCTTGGCGGAATCCGCATTGGAAGCCTGCTCGTCCTTCAGCTCCGGCTCGACCACGCCAAAAAGTAGTACTGAGGACAATCCCTTGGCTACCAGTGGCTGAAGGTGCTCCCTCAGGCGATTCAAACCGAATCTCGAGATTCCCGGCATACTGGCAATCGGTTGGACATCGTCGTCGTTGCTCACGATAAACACAGGATACATCAGATTGTGCGGTGCTATCTCGCATCCCGACTCCTGCAGCAGACGCAGGGTAGCATGGTGCATCCCACTGTGTAGTTTCCGTTCCATGGTGCCTGTTTAGCTGCTAGCGAAAATTAAAACCAACGTAACAAGTGAAACTAACGTCCAACTGCTCTTCGTGGTGGCATATTTAGCATCTTTTCTATTTAGCGGTTTTACAACACTTTCATCTAAAGTAAAAGTTAGGGTGACCCTCTAAAAAGTGAAAGTGCACTGAAATTTATTTAATTAAACATTTTGTTATAAAATGAAATTTATATTTCATATTAAGATTACAAAATGTGTTAAATTACGTATTCGACATATAAGACATATTTAAATAAGATAAGAAAACACTGCGTATGAGTAATATTTCTTTCCTATCATTAAAAAAATGTTTTTATGTCATAAAAACCATAACCAACCCAATAAAAACAAGGATGGATTTTTTCTGCATACGACTATTTATTTACTTTTTAGTTTTCTCGTTTAAAATGTTTTGGTATTAATCGTTATTACAGCAATAAAAGTTGGTGTTTTCTGCTACGCTTCCTCACACCCTCATGCACACATTCTCGATCGGGAGTTCCCCGCTTCAATTAGCTCGTTAATGGATAACTAAACATATGCTCTACATATTATAGATTTACACGTTATACGAAATATTACAAATAGTTGGCCAACATGCTATGCTTAGGCGTAATTCAAATAAACACACGAATATATAAGTTATTTAGCCTGTTAAATTGCTTAAAGGTTGTACTTTTGACTTAATTTTAGCATTGAAAATCAATCAGTGGACGAGAAAACGGAACTAAAGCCTAACTTAAGCATAAACGAATTGGGTTCAGTATTTGGTTTGGTTTTCAATTGTAAGTAACAGCCATTGGAAGTGCGTGTTTTATCTTTTGTTTCGGTCTTGTTGCGATGGTTTCGATGGTGGCGATTAGCTCTTGTGCTTTCGATTAAACATTAACTGGGGACTAAGAAACCAGTGTGTGGTGATAGTGTACACGCTTCTTTCGACGCCTTGGTCGTGGTTTCAATTGCCCCACATTCCTATTATCTTTCTCCTTATCCTTATCCTTCTGAACTCCGGCTGCTGCTCCATGGAGGGTGACTGTGTAGGAGTGCAACTGGATCATCTCTCCGACGGTTTGTGATTCCTGACTTGTGATGCTGTGTGATGCTGGTGTGTGAGTGGCGGTTGGTGGTGCGCTAGAAGTATCTACTGCTGCTGCTGGCGGATCCACCTGAGCTTGTCAGGCGAAGGTCACTTGGTAGAAGAGCCACTCTTCCATGAACGATGGCACAAACGCCTTGGTTGTGGTGAACTTCACCTTGGGGCGCAGTAATTCCAACTGCTCCTCGAAGAGACGCAGTTGAACCTGGCAGGTAGACCCATTGCCATGAGTCAAATATTTTCCATCAGGCTTCAGTACATTGAACGAGTGCTCGAAAATAGTACGGATAAAATCCCAAGTCTCACCCTCCGGGGCCTCGGTAATGGGAATATCCGTAAGATCTCCAAATACATAGTCGAACTTGCGGCCCTCGGCGGTGAACTTTTTCAAGTATTCCACACAGTCGCCGACGATTATCTCATACTGGTCGGTTTTGCGTTTTTCCAATACATCGCCACAGATCACGCTGAGGTATTTGTTGCAAGTTTGCATCACAAGCTCATCGATCTCTAGCATCACCACATGCTTGGGATTCTCTTTGAGTAACTCGTAAAGCAAGGCGCCATCTCCGCCACCCAGAATACAGATCTCCTTGCCCTCGTAGTTCTCCACACCACGGCACATTAGGGTCTCCGTGTAGATTAAATCGGATTCAGCAATATCTGTGGAGGTACAAGTTATACAATTAGTTTTTTGTACTATTTAAAAAGTGTCAAAAGTCAAAAAAGTGATGTTTGGCATTAAGACGACTTTTCTGCGGACCCCTTCTGCCCCATTGCATGGGGGTGATCCTAGACAAGCGACGCACATGGAAACAGCAGACTCTGAAGATATCAGTTACTTGTCGCTCTAAGCTTTGGAAGCCCGATTGTTTGCTAACGTTCAAAGAGCTCAAAACCGGGCCTTCGCGCTTAATTGCAAATGCTCCTTGGTACATCAGACACGACGCCCTAGTAAGTGACCTCCACATTTTATCTATCAGGGAACAGATTACGGGCACACGAGTCGAAATAACGACATTTTCCCTGGGCAGCACACTAATTAATTGATCTTTAGTTATCAACATTGGTTAATTACCTTCCTGATAACATTATACATATATGTTACATATACATAAACTAGTAAATAGCGTGACATTCAAAATTTATTAGTTAATGAAAACTGCCGTGACATTGAATATTTATTTTTTGCAAAACTGTATAACGCTTAAGTTTTGTGATTAAACAAAAAACAAAAAAATATGCTTTGAACACCGCATCCACATGTAAAACGTCCTGTTTTCAGGCATAGCACGTGCCCTTTAATGCGGCACAACCACCAATCGATTGGTGACCCTGACACCGTTCGCGCATCCATGAGAAAATATAGTACTTATACTAACTATACTTACTCTGCAGTTCGTCCAGCAGCAGCATGTTTCCCAGCGTCTTCGAGTGCATGATTTGAATCTTTTGGAAGGGCGAACGGGCTTCGAACACAACCTTGTCGATATCATACTCGATGATGCGCTCATCTGGGAAAGAGTGCAATAGATTAGTGATGCCTCAATGGCCACAGATTATATGCGATATTGATTACTATTACTGATTTTGGCTCAATTGTTAGGCAGCGCATGCAGAGAGATAGAAGTTAAGACAAAAACGAATGCACTCTTACGGGAAACAAAAGAGATGCGGAAAATCAGAAGATTGAAATGGCTGAAATGATCTATCATGCTGGGTGCCACTAGAAGAACTCTGATAACATCAGCTCGGTGGTGCTGCATACGCTCAACGATCATACGATCACACAGTTCGGATGATATACAGTAGCGGTAGTACGAGTAGTAGTTGCTCTATTTGCAATATGGGTAACCAAACGGATTGGGATTGCCTTACCTGACGATGGGAAGTACCTGGAGACATCGCCGCGCTTCAGCGTCGGCAGCTTCTGGGCCTTGATGGCCTTCAATTTGATTGCCAGGACGTTCTCCAGGCTCTTACCGCTCTGTAGATGTTCGCCGGTGTTTTTTTTTTTGATTATTTTTTTCAAGAGCGTGATGTTGTTGTTGTGGTGGTATAGGTGTTGTTGTTAGTAGTAGTTGATAGTTCAGGAACCAATATATGAGCGAGCGTACGACGAGGAGCGAGTACGAGATCGATTTCAAGGCGGGGCAGGTGAGACATGTGTGAGTTTAGGGCGTAAATATAATTCAATATTTTACACATTTATTTCACAGTTCGACGCAATTTTTTGGTGTAATTTTTGGTCCAGGAGATGTGGCAGCGGTTATTCATGATGATCGATGATCGAGTCGAGAGTGTCGATGGATTAGATATGGAAATAAAAAGTAATTCAAATTAAAAATAACCTCAAAAAAGTCGGTATGCTAAATTGCAGTGATGCCAAAGAGCTTTATCAAAATAAGGGAGGAAAACTGGAAACTTCTATAGCGGAAAATTTAAGAGGTATTTCCTTAAACAAGTTTATTTTTAAGCTAAATAAAAATAATCAAAGTTTTTTTTAGAACAATACCAAAAAGTTAAAAAAAAAAACGGTTTCCAAACAAGTGAAAAACTTTACGGAAAAAAGATTTCTTAAAATTAAAATTGGGAAATGAAAAACTAACTCATCGGGTGGTAAGATAGATCAATTAAGTAAAGACTTTTTCGTTTAATTAACTTATATTATTATCAATTTAAAATTAATAACCATCCTTAAGCATAAAAAAAGAATTTTAAAGGCAAGGGAAAACTAAAAATCATATCTAAAAAGCAGGATGAGATTGGCATCACTGCGGAAAGATACAAGGACCAGTTGAAAGACAAAGGACAAACTAGCATGCAAGGAACTGCCTAGAGAAGTAATCCCCCTAGGAGGAAACACACTAGGCTAACATGATCTGTGGCCGTGGAAAATGTGCACAGAATACGAGGCGTTTCAAATTCTTTAGTGGGAATGGCGACTTGGTGAATTTACAGGCGTCTGAGATACGGTGGCCCAGGCAGGTGCCTAATTCAGGTGATAGACATGAGGGTTTTCTTTTTCATTTTTTGTTTATGTTTTTTTTTTTGTTTTTAGATATTTTTGCAGTGGTGGCGGCAATCGGAAATTCTAGTGGAAAAACTGCACAGGTGTTCTAGATTCTGCAGTGGAATTTTTAAAGAGAATTTCGGCATATATATTGTAGGTTGTATGTAAAGTGAGATTCGATTAAATGTTTATATATATATTTATTGCAAATGGAACTATGGGAGCTAAACTGGATAAGTTTTTGTTAAGTTCGACCAACCTGAGCTAGTCATGTATATGTCGATATATCCACCGCGCTTAATCGGAGGCAAGTACTTTGATCGATCGGAATCAAATTTCTGCCGCAAAATCAGTTCCACTGTGCGCATGGTCTGCAATGGTAATTTCCTTTTTTATTTTTTTTTTTAATCCTTGAACGGCGGATGTCGATGCGGGGCTGTAGGGCAGCTGGTAAGGCATACAATGACTAAATAAAAAATATAATGGAAGGTGACCTTCAACCGGCAAGCGGGAAACTCTTCGAACGGCCCACCACTCACACCAAAAACGACACAGGCAGCCCCGGCCCAACAAAAACTATTTTTAGTCGAAATACTTGATACTTATGAAAAAGGAAAGTGAACAGAACGGCACGAAAAAGGGAATATATATTGGTGAGCCATGCAAATATGCAAGTGTCGGCGACGTTTGTGCTGGGAATATTGCAAAATAGCAAAAATTACAATAGAAGGCTTAGTGGCCGCACGCGGTTTGCGAAATCAAACCAACAACCAGCAATCGTAAACAGACGATGCCGGCTACATAGATTAGGAAAGTTCCATACACATAAAGGGAACAGTTGTTCGCAATAAATTAGCATACTGGTATTTTAAATATTCTCAGGAAAAATAATTCGACTTCAATGCTAGCTTTGAGGTATAGATTACGTCTACATTCCTTAAGACATGTGTTCAACCAGACATATTTTTTTCCGATAACATAATTTAATTTAGCTTTTTATTAGTTTTAAAATATCTTTTAGACTTACTTAATTTCTTCAACAATTTCGTTTTTTAATTTTAAAAAAGTTAACTAACGAAAAATGGTTGTAATCTAATAAAATGTTTAGAAAGATAGTTTTTTTAATAATTGATTAAAAGCACTGAAAACTTTTAAATTATATTGTTTCTATTATTTTGCCCTCAATTGTTTAGTCTACAAGTGTATAGACAAACATGGGCCGGGTCTTCATTTTGTGCCATTTTAGATGTACTTAAATAAATGACAAATCAAATTCGAAATAATAAATAAACTCTTCAATTTTCCATTTCTCAAGTTCAATGTTTTCTTTTCGTATACCTCGTGATTTCTTTAGACATTAAGAGCTAGTGGTTATAATCGCACTTTAAAATGTTTGCCTATGGGATTATAGGCATACATGGTGTAAAAACGTATGGGTGTTGCGAGAAATAGACCGCATACTTTATTTGCTATAAATAAAGTGAATGAAAGGGTGTAAATTTGGAGCTTTTTCCTGCCTATATTTGACAATAATTTAATAGGCTGTGTTTCTTTGTAGTTATTGTATAAGAACCATGCCCATAGGCGCGTCAATCAATAGATCTAGAATCAAACCCACGTGCGTCGCCCAAAAAGCGTAAGAAAAACGGGACTGCGAATGAGAGTTAACCTAGCAAAGCCTAGCTGCAAATTCGATGCTATGTGTGCTTCAGAGGTGTTAGATAATACAATAAGGGAAAGTGTTGGATGGGGGCCACTTGAGGCCAAGGACAGACAAACTGACCCTGACCAAGTGCCGGGGATTTGAGGCACTGGGAAATGGTCAAGAGCACAAACATACACACCCACCCGCCCCCATTTCATACACACACCGACACCCACACATATACGTATATACGAAACAATTCCCTAATGCAAGTACGCGGAAAATCAATTTTAGCCGGTAGGTGGAAAGCCCTTTCCCAATCTAATCAGTCGCGACACGGAAACGGGGTGGGGAAGTAAAATGTGGGTGGTGTTTTCAATTTGTTTGGTGTTACTTTAGATTTTTTTAAAGAATTTTCATAGGACTTCCTACATACGTCAAAGGATATGATGGGCTCCTTGCCGTCGGGCAGGAAGTACTCTATGTTGAGAGTCAGCAGGCCGTGCTGGAAGATCCGGCAGGTAATCACCGTGTCCTTGTTCTCGTGCAGGACCGCAAAGTAACCGTTCTCCGGCGACTCCATTGAGTAGGCCAATACCAGCTGGGGAAAAACCTGCTCCAGCTCGTTACGCAGGATCTTGGCGACCTTCTGGCGGGCTTCCTCGTCTGCTGTTTTATCCTTGTCAAGCGTAAAATCAAACAATATAGTCTGGGCTGCCATGGTGTTAAACTCGCGCAAGTCCGTAAAGCAGAACCGAAAAGTTGAACCGCGTCCCGACCAAAACGAAATACTAGTGATGCAAGTTCCAAGCACCGATAGCAAGTCGATTTCGATTGCGCTCTGGTGTGGCCGCAAATTTGGAAAGTATATACTAAAAACGTTATCAATATATTATTCTATCGGTATTTTCCTACCGATATTTTTTGAGAGCCACAACCTCATATCGATTCTAATTGGTTTGGGCGCGCGATTTAAAGGCAATGATTAATTTATTTGTTTTTTCACTGATAATCACTATTAAGCTTTTTTAAAAGTTTAATAGTATTTTATTTTTCGAAGTTTGTTTTAAATAATATTAGTAAGAATTTAATATTTAGCATATAAGTGCAACAAGTTTAAAATTTTAAAGCTTTTATATATCCACTGTTATTTTATGTTTGCGAATATATGGGCTGTTTGCATAAAATGAATCAGATCTAATGTTTAAAATAATTGGAATATTTTCGTAGCACTAATGATACAAACCACCCCCGCAGCTATCGATGATTGATGCCACTTATCGGATTTTGGCAACCCACTTTGGCCACCCCTAAATCGCAGTTCCCACGGTACGGTCCGCACTTGCTCCATCATTTCGGCTGTAAACAACATCAAAAAGCGGTAAAGCATTAAAATTACATAAATCTCATAGATTACAGCAAAATATAAACATACAATACACAGTGAGAAAGATAGAAAAACAAACCAGAAGTGGATTCCTTGCGAACCTGAACCTGAACTTGAATGTCGTGTGTGTTGTTGCTGCTTTTATGCTAGACGTAGGCCAACCAAACAAAAACAACAAGGCTACTGGCGGCAACAATGGTCTGCTAATTATAAATCTCTCGATCCCAGAGAATCGAAACAGCAGACGACGAGCATTGTGCCCGTGTTCAGATGTTGAGTGCTCAGATGTGTGGGCGCCGCAGCATGCCAATGTTGTTACGTCGTCAGCAGAGACCGCCACCCTTCTTGGCCCAACCACCCCCCAAATCGCCCACAATCCTCCCCTTTTTATTTCCTCTTTTTTTTTTATATCGCGGTGGTGTCGCCACAGTTATTACCCAGCATATTGATTTTCTGAATCCTTTCAGCTCTGGCCCCAAGGATCCCCTATGTATTTATTTGCCTTCAGGTGAGTGTACACAAGTGTATTATACCCTTGGTGTGTTAACCAACCCACTTAAATGTTTGCCTTCATTAAAATCTTACAGGCCCGCGCACGCAATCCCCGCCAGCCAACCCAATTAGCCTGATTTCGTGTACGTCATCGCTGGGCCCAAAATAATTTGCATTGCGACCAGCCAAAAACGCCGGACCAAAGTCGCATTTGCATTGTGCTCGATGACGTCTGGCTTTACTATTTATATGGCCAGCGGACAGAGGCCATAGCACAATGAGCTGGGTTCGAGAGATCCAACAGATAGCGCAAATTAACTTAACAAAAGGCGGGCATGATGACCACTTAGTACCCTAGATGATAGTGTCATTTTGTTCTGACTAAAGCCAACATGCAGCACAGCAGCGCGGGAAGTGAGGAGCGGATAACCAGTACCACCAGTAGTCCCAGATCTGGTCACAAATCCGCTGGCTCCCTATTCGGTTTATTGAGCAAACGACCCAGTAAAGTGGAACCTCATCCCGTTACTCCAGAATCGCCACGACTTCAACAAAGACCAGTGTCCGCCTGTGGACAGTACGATGTGAGCTTCGCCAAGTGCAGTGCGGATACCTCAGGAAACCATGTAAATAACAATGGCAGCACCCACAAGAGCCAAACACTGCCGCTGGAGAAGTCGCACAGCGGGCTGATCAGCTTCCACAGGCGCGCCAAGCCAAGTTCCTCAAAGGGAAAGAATCACTCGCACCGACATAGTTCGGATGCGGGTTCCCAGAGCGATGGAGGAGCCGATGTGGTGATGCGGCGCAAGTCGCCCAAACACCGATCGCCAAATCATAATAGATTTAGTCACCAGTTTAGCCTGTGCTGCAAGGCCGAAAAGAAACCTATGACGCCGCCGGTCACCGTACGGTACAACTCCATACCGGATAGCAACAGCGTTTTGCGGCGCGACAACCTTTCGTTAAGCTGGAGTATGGTGGATAACAATTCGGTTTCGTTGCACTCCAGCGAAGGATCCTCACACCGACCGCGTCCGTCCAGCGAGTGTGCCAGTGCTCCAGAGTCACCGGTGGCTAGTAAAACGTTCTTTGCCCAATGCAGCCCGGCTGCGGCTAGCGCTTCGGTGGTGCGGAGTGAAAGCCTGCAAAATAGATCACCCATCCGGCCAATGGCAGTGTCAGCTTGTCGTTCCCGACTGCGTTTAAAATTGTATCCACCTGGACAGGAGTTACCACCTCTTCAGGCCGCCGAGGAGCCAGGAGACATTAAAAGAGCCACTACACCGCAGCACATGTCCTCGCCCAATATTGCCACTCATCCAGATGGAATAGAACCTATACAGGAGCAGCCCGGCGTTAGGTTCATGTCTCACGAGAATATGACCCTTCAACGTCAGGGATCGGGATCTAATCTGGCCCGCCAAACTTTGATGGCAGCCCATGCATTGAACCTCATCCCGGCAGAAAAGGCTAGGGAACGGAGTTACTTAGATGGCAGGCTTGGATCGTCGTCGCTCTTAGGGCCCAGTGAACTAAGCCGCGTGTTGCCACAAAAGGAGGTCACCATTTTTGTGGGTACTTGGAACATGAATGGACACAGTCCACCCAAGTGAGTATAAACAAAAATGCAATATAATAAAGCGAGAAATTGCATGCAGGAATTCCACTTTATATCACGTTTAAGAATTTTCGAATTTCGAATTTGTATAAATTGTAATTTTCTTTGATTGCAGGCAACTAAATGACTTTGTGCTGCCAGCCAATGTGGAGCACGTACCCGATATTGTGGTAATGGGAACCCAAGAATCTACGCCTGACCGCTACGAGTGGGAAGTCACCATACAAGAGACCCTTGGTCCCTCGCACGTACTCTTCCACGCCACAACTTTGGGTACTCTCCACCTCGCAGTGTACATGCGACGCGATCTGATCTGGTACTGCTCGGTTCCTGAAGATGCCTCTATGTCGGTGCGCACAGGATCCGCCTTTCGGACAAAGGGAGCAGTGGCCATATCCTTTTGCCTGTTTGGAACTTCCATGCTGTTCGTGACTTCGCATTTAACGGCGCACCAGCAAAAGGTGAAGGAGCGGGTGTCGGATGTGAAGAGGATCATCAATGCTCTGGACTTGCCTCGCAATTTGCCAAATCTGCGGCATAAGAACAAGGATGTTACGCAGAACTTTGACAATGTCTTCTGGTGCGGCGATCTTAACTTTCGGCTTGGCGAGCCACGGGAGAAGCTACTCGAGTGGATTCAGAACACCAAGTTCCCGTTGCCGTCGCACTTGCCGCACGGCTATATGCACACGGATCAATTGACTTCCGTTCTAGCGGATGGCGCTGCCTTCCGGGGATTTATGGAGGCAAATATCACATTTCCACCCACGTACAAGTACGATCCAGGCAGTCAGAACTTTGATACTTCATCAAAACAGCGGGCTCCCGCTTATACGGATCGCATCCTCTACAAGTACCGTCAAATGCAAGGACTAGTTATCCGTCGGCAGACTCTTGTGCCGGGTGTGTCCACGCCAACGCAGCCCCATGTACAGTGTTTACTTTACGACTCCGTGCCATCGATAACCACCTCGGATCACAAGCCAGTGTGGGCACTCTTCCGAACCCTCATCCGTGCGGGAACCGATGCGTAAGTTTCCAATCATATAAGATAGCACTGTTTTTATCATTATCCTTTATTTTCAGGATTCCTTTGGCTGCTGGCCTCTTTAGTCGAGATATTTATCTGGAGGGGATGCGTCGGCGCTTGAATAACCAATACTCCGGCGCCTCTGCCGTATGTGTGCTACAGTAAACTACTGAGATAATAACCAAAGATAGAAATAGTGAGCATGCAGCTGGTTTCCTGTTAGCCATTCAGCCACAGTGGAATCTGTGTAGTCATTTACTCGAATCTCTAAGTGCTAGTCAAAGCTTTCCTACGGTTGTGTGACGCCTTGTATTACACCGATTAGATCGTTATCTAGTGCGCAGTCGGATACCTAAATAACGTTTTAACCATGACTTACCCTGCAATGCTGCGGTAGTTCTTAGGCGCTGCCTTTCGCCTCGAGGCCTTAGTCGTAATACGTTCCTTATGAGATTATTGAATACATACTCGAGCAACAATTCTGTACCTCTACTCTGAAGCACAAGCCTAGTCCGTAGTTAAACTAAAAATCTGTTAGTTAAAGTTTAGTCAAATATTGAAATGAAATCGAACTATGAATTACTTTGAATGTGTAATCTAAATCTAAACTAGCAGTAAATATACAATATGAATCTGAAAGATGAGCTTTATTACTTGTTGAAATAATTTAATATTTATTGTTAGTTCTATTATTTAATTCTATTTAGTTTTTGTAAGAGTTACTGTTGAATTATGTATAGTGAAGTTGATTATTTTTATAATTTGCAAACCAAATGAAGTTTTTAATTTGTTTTAAGCAAGCGTTAACTTTTTGTTTACTTTTATTAAACGATTAAACGGCTGAGTTCTCCTTACTCCTTACTTAAACACCAAAACAGCAAAGGGAGGCACTCCACACGAACAAAGGCGGGGTCGTTTATTCCCCGAAAATGCGCCAAAAACGACCAGAACGACCAACTTCTCCCTTCCCAGTGGCTACCAATACGCCACTCGCATACACACACGCAAATATGTTAAACTTTTGACCAATTTCAACTTGAGTTGGTTGCCATCGGACACACTCCGGGGGCAGCAATTTATTGGATGGCTATGGCCATGGCTATGGCGATTGGATGGCGCTCGATGGCCATACTGCAGTCGCACAGCCACTGGCACCGCCACTTGTGCGCCAAACAAGTGGCCTCGCGGTCTCCTACCTCCTACTAGCACTGCCCCCCATTTGCACCCACCTCGTCCTGCAACTGCAGCACCAGCCCAGAAAAGCTGGTTGCCATTTGTGGTTACTGTATGTGCGTGTGAGAGTTCGGCTAGCGAGGGCGGATCATGAAACTGGTGAGTATTGCAGGAATATGTTATTAATAATTATGGTTTTCTTTTATGACATTTTTGATACTGGCGTAAAATTGTAAAATATGTATTAATGTGGTCACTTCTTAGAACAAGGCTACGTTTACTAAAAAAATCAACAACTTTTACTTAAATTAACAAAAAGTGTGGAACCAATGAATAATTTTAAAATGAGGTTTAGTTTGAAATGAAAAATATCAATCCCATCTCGCATGTCCATTCAAGTGTTCCAACCACTTGTCAAAAATCCGTTTTCGAAAACGATTTTGAAGAAGTCGGTGATTAAAATGGCCCTGCCAGACGGACTTCAATCCGTTTGTATTGGCCATTTCCGCTTTGAGTGCCACCCATGATAACCCACGGCACCCTTATGCGGGCCAGGGAATTTGTTTAAAAAAACCGAAAAACAATTTCGGATGCAGTTTTTTCCGTTGTGGTCAGCGGATGGCATTGCTGGGCGGTGCGCTATTATTGTTTTTTCTGCTACTGCTACCGCTGCTGCTGCTGTAATTCATAAAGTTTTTGCTGCAATACATTCTTTTTGGTTTTGCCTTCGGGCATTGGCTGAAATTAGTTTGCGGCGGCTTGCAAAATAATATTGTATATGAAAAGTCGGAACAAAGCTGAAGCTCATTTCCGTTTCCGAGTGCAGGGCCGGTGCGAAAATTTAACCACAATATATGAAATTATATTAGTCGGGTGCATCTTGGTGAATATAAAAAACTGTGCCCCTTTTGTCTGTCCTCATAGTTATGATTTGAGAGTGTGTGTGTGTGTGTGTGTCTGTGCAGGGAACATTAATATCCTGTGCGCATTCGTACGTGTTAATATGACTTTATGACTTCATATGTGTCCATATTTTTGTCCTCGCCGCTTCACACTAAAAAGTTTTATTGTTAGTTACGCTGCTGCCGCCATCAAAGCAACCATTTTCATTCACAGCGCCGGAGATGCAGAAATTATTAAAAATTTTCCCTACTCGTATCTCAGGCACTCGTTTGCACCGTCGCAGACTGAACTTTTTCATATGTAACTGCGAGATGCCACGGATACGGATGCACTAGGGAACGTTGAAGGGAGTCGGCTTGATGGATGGGAGTCTTTTAGGTGTCTTGCATAGAGAGACAGTGGGCCGGCGGTGCGTATGCGTAATTTTATAGATGGCCTTCTTAGATAGAAGGTGGTTATATAGGTTATATTTTGAGCGTTTTCACATGTTTGCTAAGCTCTCTTTTTATGGTTCAGGGAAAGGATTCTTAAATTAAAAAGATTAAGGACTTTAATATATATTTTATATTAATATTTGTTTTTAAATGTATTTAAAGTGCTATAATTTTATAAAAACCTTAATAAATTCAGGAATAAGATACCCAAAACGTGTAATGCGGCCCATTTCCTCTTCGTCAGTTTCTCGTCACAGTTCCGGCTCCACATTAGCGGCACTTCCCATACGTGATATCGCATTCTGAAGACCTCATCCTCCCGGATAACTCCCCTTTCGGAATATAGCCGGCATTCGGCGAAGCCACTTGAATGCTTATTGTACATTTCAAACAACTCTATTACGAATATTTTTCATATTTTCTTCGCAAGTGGGGCACAGAAAAAGTTAACATTAAAAGCGATGGCGGTGCCAAAAAGGCTGCCGGAGTGACTTTTTCCCTTGGCAGGAGGACTGCTCCAAAAGTACGGGTGGTGGCAAGTCAAAGCAACCAATTCGCATGCGGCACGTTACATTTTCGCAATAAAAAATGAAAACCGCTTTGCATGCATCTGCAGGAGACTGCGAATCGCACTTGCCTCCAACGTTTAAAAGAGACTGTGTGTGTGCGTGTAGAAGCGGGGAGAAAGGGAAAAGTAATAAATGTACGTGCCGCACTAACAACAACACCAGGAAAAGAGAAGGAAAACTCACACACAACTCACTTACAGACTGGGAAGCATCGTGTCAATTTAGCATGAAAAAATAAGGAAAATTTTTAAACCGAATTTTTAAATATTCTTTCAAAATATTTAAAAATATTGAGTAATTAATAAAAATTCAAAATATATACTTGAAATTGCTTAAAACTTCCAAAAACGTAAGGGTATTTCTAATTTAAATCTTCGCTAGGATGTGAAAGCCTCCTATATAAAGCTGATGTACCTCTTGTAAGGAGATTGGAAGATGGCTATTCCGTTTCCTCTTCCTTCACTGCCTCGCACATGTCGCGACCAGGATGCATGCAAATGCAAGGATACGAATGTGGGCTGAAAAATGGGTGTCCTGGAATAGGAGTAAATGTAAAAAAATAAACTACGATTTTCGTTGACTATTCTTGAGCTCTGCACCCACCATATCCTTTACCATACCCATTGCTTCATATCTTCCTCTAGCAATTCTTCCTATTTCCTTGGGGTGTTCTGCCTCTTTGACGAAAAAAGGGAGTGGTATGGTGGAGAGCTGGGAGGGCGGAGCCTGCGGCGACGGGTCCCAACTGCTTCGTACGCAGATTACAACTTTTTAGCGAAATTTCCGATATTTTTACTATTATTATGCTTATAACTCTGTCAAAATAAGACTCACAGCTATAAGGAGGATTGTTTTGAGCAGCTAACGACCCAAGCAAACTTTCTATGTGGGTATGGCATTGATTTTCGGAAATTAAATTTTTTGACAAATTTCACTTTTTTGTAAGGGGTACCATCATCATTTTTTCGAAAAATTGAATAAATATTTTTTTCTTCAGATTTGAACGCCACTTGAATATTTCGAAAATAGATTCAAATACAAGCTCAACGACGTATTACATTCCAAATTCCGAACATTTTTGGGTCTGTAATGAGGAAAATACTGATATTTGAGACACAAATCGGGACAGAGCGATTTTCGCATTTTTGGAAAGGGGTAACATCATAAAATTTTACGAAAAATCTGAAAAAATGCACTTTTTGAGTGTGGTACATAGTTCGACGGGGAATTTAAATACGAACTCAACAAGATATAACATTCCATGATACGATTATCCTTGGCTTCGTAATGAGGAAAATACTGATATTTTGAGACTCAAATCGGGACAATGCGATTTTCGCATTTTTGGAAAGGGGTAACATCATAAAATTTTACGAAAAATCTGAAAAAATGCACTTTTTGAGTGTGGTACATAGTTCGACGGGGAATTTAAATACGAACTGAACAAGATATAACATTCCATGATCCGATTATCCTTGGCTTCGTAATGAGGAAAATACTGATACTTTGAGACTCAAATCGGGACAATGCGATTTTCGCATTTTTGGAAAGGGGTAACATCATAAAATTTTACGAAAAACCTGAAAAAATGCACTTTTTGAGTGTGGTACACAGTTCGACGGGGAATTTAAATACGAACTCAACAAGATATAACATTCCATGATCCGATTATCCTTGGCTTCGTAATGAGGAAAATACTGATATTTTGAGACTCAAATCGGGACAATGCGATTTTCGCATTTTTGGAAAGGGGTAACATCATAAAATTTTACGAAAAACCTGAAAAAATTCACTTTTTGTGTGTGGTACACAGTTCGACGGGGAATTTAAATACGAACTCAACAAGATATAACATTCCATGATACGATCATCTTCGGCTTTGTAATGAGGAAAATACTGATATTTTGAGACTCAAATCGGGACAATGCGATTTTCGCATTTTTGGAAAGGGGTAACATCATAAAAATTTTACGAAAAATCTGAAAAAATGCACTTTTTGAGTGTGGTACATAGTTCGACGGGGAATTTAAATACGAACTCAACAAGATATAACATTCCATGATCCGATTATCCTTGGCTTCGTAATGAGGAAAATACTGATACTTTGAGACTCAAATCGGGACAATGCGATTTTCGCATTTTTGGAAAGGGGTAACATCATAAAATTTTACGAAAAATCTGAAAAAATGCACTTTTTGAGTGTGGTACATAGTTCGACGGGGAATTTAAATACGAACTCAACAAGATATAACATTCCATGATCCGATTATCCTTGGCTTCGTAATGAGGAAAATACTGATATTTGAGACACAAATCGGGACAGAGCGATTTTCGCATTTTTGGAAAGGGGTAACATCATAAAATTTTACGAAAAATCTGAAAAAATGCACTTTTTGAGTGTGGTACATAGTTCGACGGGGAATTTAAATACGAACTCAACAAGATATAACATTCCATGATCCGATTATCCTTGGCTTCGTAATGAGGAAAATACTGATACTTTGAGACTCAAATCGGGACAATGCGATTTTCGCATTTTTGGAAAGGGGTAACATCATAAAATTTTACGAAAAACCTGAAAAAATTCACTTTTTGTGTGTGGTACACAGTTCGACGGGGAATTTAAATACGAACTCAACAAGATATAACATTCCATGATCCGATTATCCTTGGCTTCGTAATGAGGAAAATACTGATATTTTGAGACTCAAATCGGGACAATGCGATTTTGGCATTTTTGGAAAGGGGTAACATCATAAAATTTTACGAAAAATCTGAAAAAATGCACTTTTTGAGTGTGGTACATAGTTCGACGGGGAATTTAAATACGAACTGAACAAGATATAACATTCCATGATCCGATTATCCTTGGCTTCGTAATGAGGAAAATACTGATACTTTGAGACTCAAATCGGGACAATGCGATTTTCGCATTTTTGGAAAGGGGTAACATCATAAAATTTTACGAAAAACCTGAAAAAATGCACTTTTTGAGTGTGGTACACAGTTCGACGGGGAATTTAAATACGAACTCAACAAGATATAACATTCCATGATCCGATTATCCTTGGCTTCGTAATGAGGAAAATACTGATATTTTGAGACTCAAATCGGGACAATGCGATTTTCGCATTTTTGGAAAGGGGTAACATCATAAAATTTTACGAAAAACCTGAAAAAATTCACTTTTTGTGTGTGGTACACAGTTCGACGGGGAATTTAAATACGAACTCAACAAGATATAACATTCCATGATACGATCATCTTCGGCTTTGTAATGAGGAAAATACTGATACTTTGAGACTCAAATCGGGACAATGCGATTTTCGCATTTTTGGAAAGGGGTAACATCATAAAATTTTACGAAAAATCTGAAAAAATGCACTTTTTGAGTGTGGTACATAGTTCGACGGGGAATTTAAATACGAACTCAACAAGATATAACATTCCATGATACGATCATCTTCGGCTTTGTAATGAGGAAAATACTGATATTTTGAGACTCAAATCGGGACAATGCGATTTTCGCATTTTTGGAAAGGGGTAACATCATAAAATTTTACGAAAAACCTGAAAAAATGCACTTTTTGAGTGTGGTACATAGTTCGACGGGGAATTTAAATACGAACTCAACAAGATATAACATTCCATGATCCGATTATCCTTGGCTTCGTAATGAGGAAAATACTGATATTTTGAGACTCAAATCGGGACAATGCGATTTTGGCATTTTTGGAAAGGGGTAACATCATAAAATTTTACGAAAAACCTGAAAAAATTCACTTTTTGAGTGTGGTACATAGTTCGACGGGGAATTTAAATACGAACTCAACAAGATATAACATTCCATGATACGATCATCTTCGGCTTTGTAATGAGGAAAATACTGATATTTTGAGACTCAAATCGGGACAATGCGATTTTGGCATTTTTGGAAAGGGGTAACATCATAAAATTTTACGAAAAATCTGAAAAAATGCACTTTTTGAGTGTGGTACATAGTTCGACGGGGAATTTAAATACGAACTCAACAAGATATAACATTCCATGATACGATCATCTTCGGCTTTGTAATGAGGAAAATACTGATATTTTGAGACTCAAATCGGGACAATGCGATTTTGGCATTTTTGGAAAGGGGTAACATCATAAAATTTTACGAAAAATCTGAAAAAATGCACTTTTTGAGTGTGGTACACAGTTCGACGGGGAATTTAAATACGAACTCAACAAGATATAACATTCCATGATCCGATTATCCTTGGCTTCGTAATGAGGAAAATACTGATATTTTGAGACTCAAATCGGGACAATGCGATTTTCGCATTTTTGGAAAGGGGTAACATCATAAAATTTTACGAAAAATCTGAAAAAATGCACTTTTTGAGTGTGGTACATAGTTCGACGGGGAATTTAAATACGAACTCAACAAGATATAACATTCCATGATCCGATTATCCTTGGCTTCGTAATGAGGAAAATACTGATATTTTGAGACTCAAATCGGGACAATGCGATTTTGGCATTTTTGGAAAGGGGTAACATCATAAAATTTTACGAAAAATCTGAAAAAATGCACTTTTTGAGTGTGGTACATAGTTCGACGGGGAATTTAAATACGAACTCAACAAGATATAACATTCCATGATCCGATTATCCTTGGCTTCGTAATGAGGAAAATACTGATATTTTGAGACTCAAATCGGGACAATGCGATTTTCGCATTTTTGGAAAGGGGTAACATCATAAAATTTTACGAAAAATCTGAAAAAATGCACTTTTTGAGTGTGGTACATAGTTCGACGGGGAATTTAAATACGAACTCAACAAGATATAACATTCCATGATACGATCATCTTCGGCTTTGTAATGAGGAAAATACTGATATTTTGAGACTCAAATCGGGACAATGCGATTTTCGCATTTTTGGAAAGGGGTAACATCATAAAATTTTACGAAAAACCTGAAAAAATTCACTTTTTGTGTGTGGTACACAGTTCGACGGGGGAATTTAAATACGAACTCAACAAGATATAACATTCCATGATACGATCATCTTCGGCTTTGTAATGAGGAAAATACTGATATTTTGAGACTCAAATCGGGACAATGCGATTTTCGCATTTTTGGAAAGGGGTAACATCATAAAATTTTACGAAAAATCTGAAAAAATGCACTTTTTGAGTGTGGTACATAGTTCGACGGGGAATTTAAATACGAACTCAACAAGATATAACATTCCATGATCCGATTATCCTTGGCTTCGTAATGAGGAAAATACTGATATTTTGAGACTCAAATCGGGACAATGCGATTTTCGCATTTTTGGAAAGGGGTAACATCATAAAATTTTATTCTTATATTGTAACTTTTGAGTAAAATTTGAGATATTTTTTCCTAGGAAGGAAGGCGCAGAACCAAAAGAAATACAGTTTTGTGAAGCTAACGACCCAAACAAACTACCTGTGTCATTATGGTGATGATTTTCAAAAGTTTATTTTTTCCCAAATTTTACATTTTTTTAAGGGGTACCATCAAATGATGATTCCAAAAATATTTTTTCCTTCAGATTTGAATGGGACTTCAAACTTTTGAAAATAGATTGAAAAACAAGCTCAACGAGATATAACATTCCATTTTCCGACCATTATTGGCTTTGTTATAGACAAAATACTGAAAATTCCAGCCTCAAATCGGGCCAGACCGGGTTTCGCATTTTTTGAACATCATAAACATTTACGAAAAATCTCAAAAAATGTACTTTTCGAGCCTGGACCTAAGGTATGACATTCTATATTCTGACCGTTTTTGTCTTTCTAATGGTGAAAATACTGAATAATTGTCAGAATTTAAAGCCTTTATCTCTCCGGCAAGCCCTCCAAAACCCTCTTCCTACCTTCACTGCCTCGCACATGTCGCGACCAGGATGCATGCAAATGCAAGGATACGAATGTGGGCTGAAAAATGGGTGTCCTGGAATAGGAGATTTTACGATTTTCGTTGACTATTCTAGAGCTCTGCACCCTCGATATCCTTAACCATACCCATTGCTTCACATCTTCTTTCTCTAGCAATCCTTGCTATTATACCAATATCCTAGCGTTTCCTTGGGGTGTCCTGCCTCTTTGACGAAAAAGGGCCGAGGTATGGTGGAGAGCTGGGAGGGCGGAGTCTGCGGCGACGGGTCGCAACTGCTTCGCACGCACCACTCTCGCATTTGAAGTAGCTTTGGATTGTATAAAAGTATCCATAGCTACCATAATTTAATGAAAACATAATCTGCATTCACAAAAAATAAAAAAAAAAAATATAAAAGAAAATCGCAGAGCCAACGCCAAAACCCGCGAGTGGAAAACGTTCAGCAAAGGAAGAAGCCAGTGGCAAGGAGATCCTGCAGAGAAATCGTATTAAATGGCGACAGGTCTCCTCAAGGGCTTTCAGGGGCTTTTGTTGGTCGCCGAATTCCGCATCCCGATGTCAGATTGTATTCGCAATTTCTCAAGAGGGAATGGCTTGCCAATATCTCAAAGGGGTTTTTAAGCTTTTTTATAATTGGTTAAAAGTTACTAAAGCTTTGCTTGTTATAATTATTTATGAAAATAACGTTAAAATAGCGTTAAGCTTACAATTTAAGGCTTTGATGAAGAGTTTTAATTTAATTTTTAAGGTATCACTTTCCCTTTTGCTAACTTTATACTTATCTTCTTTTAAGAGTATTTAAATTCTCTTATTAAATTCAAATCAGTTACCTCAAACCTAAAATATTTATATATCCTAATGCAACTGGAGACTTATTTACTTGAATCCGCGGCAGTTCATGTATTGAAGGCGTCTTTTTACTATCCGATCCGCGAGGCATTGGCAAGTATCTGGTTTCGTTTTATTTCTTTTCCCCATTTTATTCAATTTTCTATTTAATTTTTTTTCTTTGCTGAATTTTTGATGATTCCTTGGCAGCTTGTTGTATTTGCGCTGGGGCACAACCGACAACTTGAGCAGCGACTTGAGTAGCTGGCAGGAAAGTTTCCTAGACAACTCCTTCAGGTCCGCGGGATAAAAAATAGAAAGAAAGTCAAGGGACTGCTGCTGGCTAAATATCCTTTAGCCTTTGGAGAATCATCAGTAAGGCTCCGAGGACCACTTGTGAATACGCTTTGATGCGCGTGGCTTTGTGCTGGAGTGTGACTGATGTTTTTTTTGGTTTCTTTTCTATATTTTTTCCTGTTCAGAATGGTGGAAGAGCGAGAGGGGTTTCCTTTCCGCCAGGTTGGGGTCCTGGAATTATACTCACTCCCCCCGCCTTGATATTTATTTATTTTGACTCGGCGCTGTTAGCTGCTTTTCAAGTATTTCGTGAGTAGCGTAAAATACGCTCGCGAAATGTAATAAAAACATTTTTTCCAGCGGCTGCAGCCCAACATCTTATTCCTTCCGTATGCTGCAGCCGATTTCTAGTGGCAAGTCGTCGAGCTCAACTTCTCGGCTTTGAGCTACTGAACTCGCAGTTCTGCCGCTTGTAAAGTATCTACAAGATATTTTTAATACATGCTCGCGAGTTACAGTGTGTGTGTGTGTAGGTTCTACACCCACTTGGAATAGAACACTCATCCGTCCTGTTGGCATCCATTTGATGTTCGCTTTTCTTTCTTTTTTTTTTTGGCTGTATTGGGCAGCATAATGAAAAACATTCCAGTCATATGCAAAAATATGCGATGCATTTTCGTATTTTTTCATGATTTTATGTTTACCCAAATTACGACTATGAAAATGTTGCAGTTAAGCCAAAAGGACAAGTTGAATTTCCCTTTAAATATGTATTTGAAATTTGCATATTAAGAGACTTGGGCTTTACTCATTTGCATTTGACTTTTGGGCCGATCGGATTTTGGCTTTGAGTCGGCAACACCTTGCCTCGAAAGTCAATCTTCATCCAGCTGTAGCTACACATTCATTGTCTCGAACTACGCCCCTTTGGTGTCTGGCCTGTCAACTGGTGCTGGTCCTGATGCCGATTCAGATTCTCATTCCGATCCTGATGACTCCTCTCGCCTGCCAAACTCAGCTGGCAAAAGACGATGTATAGGAAGAGCCTTGCAGGGATTGGATTGGGGCTACCACACATTCTCGTAGTTCGTGTTCGATTCGCCAGCTGTCGAGCTTTGCAATTCAAATTTTCCATCCTCACTTCATGGGCGAGACCAGCCAGAGCAAATGTCTAAATAAAGATACAATTAATTTAAGTTTAGGAACAAAAGTGATTCGCAAAACGTTTGGTTAACAAGTTCAGTAAATCATAAAAGACTCCATAAGTGTCACATCATAAAGAATCTAAAGGACAATTTCAAGCAGCTAAGTTTGGGCCAAGACCTTGTTACATGGTTGTGAAACTCTAAAACTATATTGACGAACAAATTAGTAAAAGACAAAGACTATAATTTTCCATTTTAGTAATCATTACAGCAGCATATGGCCAAATACAGACTTTTTTCATTAGTTGCTGATAGAAACACTTTACAGGAGGCACTTTCCGGCCTATTAGAAACTCATTAGTCGCATGACCCGGCCAAGTTTGAACTAATAATGTGGTGGCCTCGTCTGTTGGCCATTGGCAGGCTCAATTGAAAGAAATTTTCAATTTAACAGCAAAGTGTAGTGGTCAGGGGGCAAGGGAAATGTGTACTCGGAACCAAAAGAGTGGCAAGTGGCGCCTTCTCTGCGGTTCGATGAGTCGGCAGCCAAGTGGCCAATTACGTTTCTGAATATGGTACACAGGGCACAATACCAATCTCAATCTGTGGCATCAAGTAGACAAATATAGACTATTGTATGCCTATGCACGTAATGCATTCCCATCCCGTCTCCATTTGGCATTCAAAAACTGTGCGTCTGTGCGATTTTGACGCATATTTGCCAGGCCCAAAACTACCTGGCCCCATCTTCTGTTCCTAGTCATTGATACTCGCATTTCTACAGAGAGAGAAAATGTAGAAATAACTTTAAAAGTTTTTTAGATCATGATATTTAAGGATGAAATACTTTTTAAATGGAAAATTAGATAGAAAAATGTAATGTAAATGGAATGTAAAAATGGAATGTAAATATTATAAAGCTAAGTACATGATCTACATCTACATCTACATATACACTGAAAATATTCCCCAAACCAAACTTTCGTTTTTCAATGACCATATGACATAATATTATTATCATTTATCCTACACTTTAGTATATTTTTTCTCTCAGTGCTGATTTCGTATCCATGCAAGGCAGCAGCAGGCTAAAATGCACAATTGCTTCATTTTGCAAAAGGATTTTATTAAACCCGAACCGGAGTGAAGTTGAAACCGAAGCAAAGTGTTGGTCGATAAAGGCAAGTGCCAGGCTGTTTGGTGATAGACAGAGTGAGAGAGAGAGAGATGGGGTTGGAGGCAGGCAGGATGCGAATGTCCTGGATGCTTTTCCAAGGATCCCATGGCAATCGAAGTCGATTTGCCTTCGAGCTGCCTGTGCGTCTGTTTGCGTAGTTATGGTAAATATTCATATTTGTAGCGTATGCGCAATGTGTTGAAATTAGCATTTATGAATTTTGTGCCAAATGTCGAACTCAAACACTTACGTGGCACGTACACACATGCACATGGCAATCCCAACAGAAACTACATTGAGTGAAGTCCCCCTTTCCCCTCTCATTTAATCCCCCCCTCTCGGGGTACTCTCTTGCCCCCCTTTGGTTTCTGTGTATTATGCGAGAGATTCCTGGTTATGGTCTTTGTGGCTTTTTGGGGGCCAGCGGCTCACATTTAGTCATTGGCCATCATCCATTTGCATTTAGATTGCGACCCATTCCTTTTGTGGAAAATCCACCCAAAACACAGGCGGCCGAGGAAACCCGCAAAAACCCCTTAACCCAATGATGCCAAACAACTGCCACAAGTGACTTCTTTGAACTGTTTGGTCAGGCAAAAGGCCAACGAGTGACATCTGCCGCTCGACAATTTGTGCAGCCCTCTGCGGTAAGGATGTTCGTGTTCATGGGCACCGATTTACATAATTATAAGTGGAAAGTTTGCAGCAAAGAATCTGCGTTTCCCATGGTTTCCCTTCTAAAATAGTTTTACAGACTACTGGTAGTACAATCTGATTTTTGCTTACTCTTTGAGGATGGTTTACAGATGCTCCTCTGGAAAATATATATTCCCAAATATTATGTAGTACTAGCTTAGGTTTCACATGCCAGAAGTCAAAATCATTGATTTAGTTTGCCAAAATCTAGTTCCCACATCATCTGACTATTATTTTTAACATTTTCCTACCCAAAAACCAATTTATTTTGCACTCGCTACCTCAATAACGCCTTTTAGCCTTTGTCAACACATGTGTCCTATGAAAATAAAACCAAATGCACATTTATTTTCATGAAATATATATTTTGTTTATTATGCGATTTGCCACTCTTTGTGGACTGCGTATTATGATGACTCTTTTATGGGAACATGAAATTGATTTTTGATTTTTATTGTTTACACAAAGTGCTGAAGGCAAGTATTACGAGCTGGAAATTCTTAAGTACCATATAAAAAATCAACTTTTGTCAACGATTTTCAGAACTGATTCAATTTTGAAAGCCTTTCCCTCGGGTGTTTTTCCCATAAAAATTGTTAAGCGATTTTAAGGATATTTTAGGAGCCACAAAGTGATGTTTGATTTGGGGTATAGCAATGTTAAATATATTTTTAATAACCAGCAATATGGTTTTAAAAAACTCCTCTGAAATCGATTTAAATCTTTTCCATTTTTAGTATTTTTAGGAAACACAAAGGACAAAATGTGTCCTTTAAGTTCCGTGAAAGAGCATTTGAATAACTTAACCATCCTCCATCGTCACAGTAATTAATTACGTAATTTACACATTTACGAGCGGAAAAAGATCATTGAGCAGAGGAACACGTGGTTGTGTGGATAGAATGCGTGGCAAGTGTTGCTCTCAACAGGCAAAGGACATTGCAGGAACTGGGACTTTTCCTCGTCATTCCACAGGCCAGTTTTTTCCGAACGGCTCTTGCACTTGTTTGGCCTTGTCCGCTTTTGATTAATGATGCGGACACTGGATCTCTTTTTTACGGCCTCTTTTAATGCGTGTATCTGCAAACGACTTACACGTATAACCTACGAAGGACATGGGGTGGGTACAGAATCCTCAGTGGTGGTGGCAGTGGCAGTGCCAAAAACTCAATGGTGGTTGAGTTCCGGACTCTTTGTTTGCCCACTTTTGCTACGAAAACCCCCTACCACAAACATCCCCTTCGAGAGCCGTAAGGATATCCTTAGCCGTATCGGTGTCGCGATTGGGGTTTAATCTGGTTAGCGGCCCTGATGACGACACTGCCGGGGCAGAAGGCCGAGGAGAACCGGATACCCGGCGAGACGGTGACGTTTAAGCACAATTGCTGTGGCTAATGTGACACATATTGTGACAAATTGCATGAACTTGTCCTTAGCTTGGAGGAATGGCAGTCCGGGGTCTTTGTTCCTGGATGGGGTTGGACTGGGCCCGAATTGTGTAAACACGTGTTGCAGTTACTCGTAAATCAATTAGTCACCGATTGTCCAAGTGTTTTCTATTCAAGTTCCTAAATCTGATTCGAGCTAATGTCTTGAAAGGCTAGCAATTATATGTAAAGGAGAACATTTGGGATTTCTGTTAGTCTTTCTGATTAAACTAGCTTTACTAATGTGTTAATCTTAATTAATATAAATAAAAGATGTAACTTTTACAAGAACTTATAGTTTTGAAGACATTAAAGAAGCTTCAATTCCTAAAAACCATCCACATTATAGTCGATTTTACATGTATTTTAAAGACTGATTTCTACTTTATTTTCAGAATCAGAACATTCCGATGCAGTTCCTGTCCCGAACCAAAACCAAGAGGGCGTAGAAACAGGCTGCCAGTTAAAAGTCCGATCCATTTTCGACACATTCATGTCGTCGCTGTCAAACGGCCCGTCATCATGGGGAGGTTACGGTTCCGTATCCGGCCGTACCCGGGCCTTTTGAACTATGCATGACGAATCGGCATTTTACGCCCATTCCCGTGCCGCCGGGGGTTGCGACTGCTGTGGCAAATGCTTTGTGCCTGTCAACCGAGCGGAACTAATTTCGAGGCTGCACCTGCAGAGCCACCAATGCGATGGTGGTGCAGCAAGTGGGGTGATTGCGCAAGTGGTGCAGCTTCCAAAGAGGAAAAAGAAATAGGACCAAGGGGAGGAAATCTAGTTAACCGGGGTGTGTGTTTAAGTTCGACTGCTAGCACATTAACATTCTTTTATTTTACAAGGTCTAATTTTGATTTGGGCTTAAAATTCGATGGCCTAACAAGGCCAGACTAGTGATCCATGGCATCCTTGACGCCGCATTCCCCATAGGCTTGCAGCTCCTCCGGCCGAAAGTAGGAGCTCTGCATGCTATATAGCCGGTCGATTGGATTGATCATGGGTGTTTGAGCAAAGGGACCCATTAGCTGCTGAAATGTGGCATAACTCAGACCCAGAATGGTATTCAGTATGGGCTCGTTGTTCTTGTTGCAGTTTTCTAAAGGGAAATTATTTAGTTTTTGGATTGAATCACCCTTTTTGGAAACCTCACCTTTATTGGTCTCCATGCAATTGAAGGGCACTTGCTCCTGTTCGTCCTTAATGGTGCATCGCATCCGGGTCAGTCCATCCGATGTCGTGGAATATGGTGATTCCATCTGCGACTCACTGTCGCTGTGCGCCTCGTCCTTGATCTTAGTGGCCAGACTACTGTCCAGGGACTCCTGCGAATCCTGCGAGTCACTGGCTCCCTTGCTGGGCGGCTCCTGCTTGGCCTTCTTCTGTATCTTTTTGACCTTTGCTCGTTGGTTTTGGAACCAGACCTAAGTAGAAAGGGTAATTATAAACTTAACTAATTATATATTAAGTTTTTTATTCACCTGCACAATCCTTAGACTCAATCCCGTATCCTTGGCCAGGTTCTCTCTCACTTTTCGACAGGGCTTGGGCGAAATTTCAAAGGAGGCCTTGAAGGCCCTTCTTTGCTGGGTATTCAGTATAGTCCTTGGCCGCTTGGGTCCACGTCTTCCGTCCAGTTTGGGTGGAAAAAGCTCATCACCGTAGAAATCTAGTCAAGATTATGATTAACATTATAAACTAAACAGTATTAAGACCCAACCCACCATATCCCTGTAACATCTCCACCTCCTTCTCGTAGTCGAAGCGGCAGAAGAGTTGTCCCTGCTTCACCACGTACTGCTCCCCCTTCTTCAGGAGAGCCCCACAAACCACACAGGCGAAGCACTTTAGATGGAAGACGTTCTCGTGACATCTCATCACCAGCTCATCTGCGGCGATTTTAAGGCCACAGCCAAGGCAATGATTGCGGATGTAAAGTCTGTCGAGGGAAAAGGATCACACTTAGAAAACTATTATCCTGGATTTTTAGAAATATTTCTGTACTGAAAAGCCACCCTTTCATTCAAAGTAAGTGCAATTCTTAAAAAGGGGTTTGATTTTTCAGCACCCTTATCACAGAGGTCACTTGGGTGTCAGGACTCACCTCTCATAGTCGATGCGGCAGTAGAGTTTGCCCTCCCTCGCGTAGCACGAGTGCACCAGGTGCAACGAGCAGGCGGTGCACTTGAGGCAGCCTTCATGAAAGGAGTTCTCCACCACGCGCATTATGTAGCGATCGCAAATGGGCTGACAGCAGTGGGCACACTGGCTCAATGGAGCACCACCCATGCCCGTGCTCAATTCCATGCTCATTCCGGAACTGGGTACCATTCCCTGAGGCGCTTGCGGTGTGTTGGATGCCGATGGAGGCGGGGCTGCCGGTGTGGCAAAGCCGTCCATTCCATTGAGGGTGCACTCGCCCAAGGTGATGCGATTGCAGAGGGAATGGTTGGGTGGTCCGGGACCGGGTCCAGGTCCAGGTCCTGTTCCTGGTCCTGGCATTTGGCCCATGCCCATCGGCTGTTGCTTGTTTATGGCGATGTTGGTGCTGATGTTGCTGCTGTTGTTGTGGTTGCTGCAACTTCCGTTGACATTTCTGCTGACTGACGCCATTTTGTCATTGTGGGCTACTCCGGCTTTGGCACTCGATGTTGCCGCCGTACTCCTTCCGGTAGCCGCTACCGATGTTGCCGCTGTCGTTGGTGTTGTTAACATGCGTTCATTTCCGTTCAACAGCAGTTGATTGAGGCCCCCAGTTTGTGGCAGTTGCTGCTGCTGCTGTTGTTGTTGTTGTTGCTGCTGCTGCTGCTGCTGTTGCTGTTGACATTTTATGTCCATCGGAACTATTTTGGTTTTGCGGTCGTGTCGTTGGTCCAGCCCACCAATACAAGCCCATGCCAGGCACATGCAAATGAGAAACATTTCAGATATTTTTATTTTCACTTTGGCATGCACACTGCGGCTGACCCCACCAGCCTCCTACTCCTCTTTCCTCCTTCCACTTTTTCCCTCAAATTTACAACTATGGTTCAGGATAAAAAGGGTTTTGTATTTGCGGGCAGGACCACTGTGTCCATCTGGTGGGCACTGTGACCATAACCGTTTCGAGTTGTAGTAAATTTGTGGTTTTGCAATTATTGAAATGACTTTTCCACCAACAAAGAGTCGGAGCGGACTGTGTGTGTGTGCGAGACTGCACTCGAAATTCCCTGAAATGCCATGCGAAATGTGGCATGTAAAAAATACGGCCAACGCTGCGTATGCGTAACCGTTGCGTATGTACGATTGTTCGGTGTTTTTGGTGGCAAAAAATTACTGTACATTTGCGGTACACTGACTGGTTGGCTTTTTGTGCCTTGTTGTCTCAATTTATGGCAAATTGCTGAAATTTCAACGTAATTTGTTTCCCAGCTTTTGTCTGTCTTTTTGTCTCTCGTTGACGTTCATTTTGTTTGGTTTTTCACTTGTTTTCATTGCATTCCCATATGTGTGTGTGTATTTGTTTGTCATTCCGCATTTGAGTGATTTAAATGTGTGCGTAATTTCATTAAATTGTTGGCAAAAATTATATCTGGTATGCCAATTTATGCCAGAAATATGCCCAGAATGTTAAAGTATTCCAGCCATCGTTCACATTAACAATCCAGCTACACCTCTTACACTGATTGACGTGAATGGCTTTACATCTGTTTGTGTTTGTTTTGCTTGGCCAAATGGCAAATAAATGCTAAAATGCTCGATTGCAGTTTTGAGTGCATTTAATTGGACTGCATTTAATTGCCATTTGACAGGGGAAAAGCTGTTAGTAAAAAATGTATGAAAAAATGCCTGCAGTTCTTCATAAAGCGATTGGAAAAGTTCTCTTGTTTCTGTTGATTCTATTCAAATTTCTATAATAGTTTTTCTGGTCTTGTTACTGAAGGTTAAAGCCTTTTTTTGCCTTGACTAAGTAGTTTATATAAAATATATATTATCTTCCCATCGTAAAAATAAATCAAGCTAGCACATTGCTTACTCTTTTAGGGTGCCTTCTCCACATGAAACAACTTTCCCATATGCTCTTCCATACTTAGCAACTACAGTCTCCAGCTGACTGTCATCCAATCTCAAAGGTTCAAAGCCTAATCTTCCTGCCCTCACATTAACTTCTGTCACTTGGAACAACAGGAACTATACCTACTAAGAAGTGCAGCGGAATAATCCGCTCAGTGGCCACACCTGTTACACTTTCAGTGCTTTGTCATTCGCAGTTTGACATTCGAAAATATGCCAACATGTTGGCAGGACATGTCAGAGCATAGACCTCAAGGATTTAGGACGACAAGTGCAAAGCCGACATTGATAGTCCACTTCCACTGTGCCCTGTTCCCGCTCTAATTAGATTCTAATGTGCAACGGAGAACTGAGGGGCGGATTGAGCTACCACCCCTTGCATTGCCTTATAACTATGTAGATTATAAACGAATTTCAATGAATCAAGGGGCTAACTTGCGTAGGATTTCCACCCTTATGGAAAATATGCTCGAGCTTAGCAAATAACCAGAGATGAAGCTGGGGAGGAAGAGGGTATCATGATTTCGGGTTTTTGGGCAAAATGGGCTGCTGGCTGCTGGCGGCATATGTTGGCAGTCAGTCGACAGTCGGCTGTTCGTGAGCGGAAACCCTTGGAAATCCTTGCCAGGATGTGTCGGCCTGCCAGGAAGCTGTGTGCTGCCTCCGAATCCGCTGTCAGTTGCTGCCGAGCGAGCTGCTGCCAACTGACAGCGTTTTATTTAATCCGATTTGGGCAGACAATGAAGTTATGGTGCCATTGGCTTGCCATTCGCCGTTTTGTTGTGCCAGCAATCGCAGCCGTAAATGCTTTGTTTTGGCCTAATCTCTGACAGAAGTCAAAATTTGCTTTGCTCTGGAAAATATGTTGTAATTTTCACTGGCTGAAAGCCATTTGGATTCAAGTGGGCCTTTGTGCAATCGTTTATATGCATATTTGGCACTATTGGTGTGGAATTTATATCTTTGGAGGTAGATTTTATGAAAAGTGTTAGAATTTATGTTTTGTCTTTTGTATATTATGAATGTGAAAAAACTCTTTTAGTTAGAAAAATTATAAAGTGGTATAGAATGCTATAAACTGTCGAGAGTTTAAGGTCTTAAATTACATAAATCAAAAAGTGATTCGGAGGGAAACATTATCACCACTTAATACTTGTAAATCAAATCAAAGAATGTTTGGAAAATATGTAAAAACATTTTGGTTTTGTGTGAGTTAAAGCTGAAAACAAAAACATGAATACCTTTAAGTTACAAAATGAAAACATAAAAACTTGGGGAATGCAATATTGTAGTTATTGCTTGAAGTTATGTAAAGTTTTGCCGATTAGGGCATTAAGATTTCCTGTAGTTCTATGAAAGATTAACCTCCTTTATATCCACAAAATCTACACCATTTTATCCTTAACTTTTTCATGATTTTTCCCTATAGTTTGTTTGGTAAATAGTAATAAGTTATAGCAATTAGACACATCACAGTAAAGTAAGTTAAAAGGAGTTGAGCTTAAGCCACGTAATCATAAAAAAAGCCGACGGCTTTGCCAGATATTGGGCGTTGGAATGCCGACGGCTTTGTAAGTCTTGTCAGAATTCCCTTTCATGAAGTCCCTCGATACTCACACATTCCAATCTGCATAGGATGCTGTTCATCGATCATATTGAAATCAGTTAGTTCGAAAAAGGAAAACCATAAAATCACGTTCACTGAGTTTTACATAATTTTCGCCAGAATTTTCACCAGGATTTCCCTACACATCATAAAACACACATATCAAGACAGATAAAGACACATTTCAAGGCTCGAACTGTAAAAAGATTGCAATTGGAAATTACAGATTTGGGGCGGCCAGTCTCGGACTGCTGACCTGGCCCTGTTACGAAACGCGATGCTTGAATGATTACGGACCTCTGATGTTAATGAAATTTGTTAAAAATCATTTGCTCTTCTTTTGGCAAAATGCACAAGCATCGGCTGCTGCTACTGCTACTGCTGCTGCTGCTAGGAAATTCTCTCCAAGTCCGGAGGAGAAATGGCCAAATGCTTATGTGTATGTGTGTGTGTGCGTGTGCGCCATTTTAGCCATATCCTGTGCTCCAACCCCCTGAGAGCGCCAGCCATTTGCCTTCCCCAGCTTTTGTGAGATTCGCCAGCTTTTGGCGCATGCGTTGATCCCCCCCAAAATAACATCCGTTTGAATCCGATTCCGAATCCGGGTGGCGGATTCTGACTTGTTTTGCCTTTGTCTTTTTGCTTTGTTTTTTGCACTTTTGACTTTTGTCTTTGTCTTTGCTCGTGGGGGACTTTTATTTGTTTTGTTGTACTTTACGTAGATTTTGTATTGACAAAAGGATGTTTGGCTCGGCGATTTCTTGCTTGCTTTGTCGCCTCAGCAACAACATCAGCTATCCCCTTCCTTCCCTCTCTTTCTTTCTCTCTCAAAAAAAAAAAAAGAAAAACAGTGACTCTCCCTCAGTGGCTGGAATTTTGTTTTCCTTTTTTTTTTTAGTTCGCCGTGTGTGCTGGCTACGATTTTATTCCCTTTTTCCGCAATGGCTTGTACATTTTAAATTTATTGATTTTCGAATAGCCATAGAAAGGACTAAGATTAAAGACCCAGAAGATGAAGAGCAGTGGCACGGCTTTAATTACGGGTCGTGCCCATTGTCCAGGCGAAATTTTTGGGCCAGCAAGCCTGGGCGGCCGGCTGTTAATGACGACCCTTTAAACTTGGCCCAAATGAATTTCTGGTCTATTAAGCCGGGGCGCCAAACTTTAATGTCTAAGCACTTGCCGGCTGACTGCATGTCTAGCTGCGAGTTGCCAGTTTGCCAGTTGAGAGATGAGGACTTGTCTGGCCGAAACTCCTGGCTGTTGGGATCGGCTGTTGCCCGCTTTTCCGACGAAAATTCCCCAGAAAGTTTCGTAAACGCGAACGTGTTACTCACAATTAGTGTGCGGACGAACCATTTAACTGCCAGCCACCTTTCGCCACTTTCTCCACCCCCAATTTTTCCCCTTACCCTCTGATGATGATAATAATTATGTGCGGTAATCTTTGCGATTCATAATCGCTACACGAAACACTGAGATGTGCAGGGAATTTAAAGTACAATAAAGCTAATCCTTGGGTTATTAAGCTGGGATTTTCTTATTTTTGATTTTTATTATTAAATAATGTGTGGCTTATTAATAAATGGGTAATAAATTAATTAGGGGATATATTAAAAAGATTTAGAAACTTATTGTTACATTAAATAAAAGTTTGTGTTAGAATTTTTCACATTCTTTGGACAGTTACTTTTGATTTTTTAAAATTTTTAGAATAAATTAGAATAAATTTTAAATGTTTCTTAACTTCTGCTTCTCATTTTCTTATTTTCATATTTTTAGCATAAACTTGAGGTTACTAAATTAGAAAATCTGATTGAGATCCCTTAGATTGTGTAAATTTAGAAATAAGTCGCCATCCTCCTTCCCAGTTTCTTCCTCCATCCGCGAAGAAACTTTTGGCACTTTGTCTACGCGCAGCCTAGACATAGAAACTCAAGGGCGGAGGTTCCTCCCTTAACCCCCCAGCAGCCAAAATCCCGATGTCATCGCCAGACACCGGGGCCTTGAGTTCGCATACCGCTCGACACTTGCAGTTGACTCCGCTGCTAATGACTAAGATTAATTTGGGTCACTGTGTTTCCGACGGCATCCCCGATATTGGGGCCATTTAAGAGGGATTCAGACTCAGTTTCAGATTCGGATTCGGATGAGTACAATGGGCGCAATGGAGTTCATAGCGCACAAACACTACATATGGGGGAATTATGCGCGTGCCTTTTGTGTATCAGTGTGTGTGCAGCAAAATGCATGCATGTGTGTGTGTGTTTGGCGTGGAGGGAATTTGGCGGCGTGCAGCGGAAACTGAAATTGTTCGGGGTTAATTAAACACGACATGTGTGGCATTGCATGCATTTGTAGGCGGGGTGGGGCGATCCCGACCCGCAAGTGTGAACTGCCAAATGGGGGTCAGGCGCTAATCAATGCGCCATAATAGACAAATGACCCGACGCTTTAGCATTGAGTTCATTATGTTTGAATTGCCAGCATGTTGATGCGTTTATGAAGTTCCAATTTCAGTTTACAGTCGCTATTTCGGTGGACATGATAATGTTGGCCAACTGATTTATGAGCTGAGAAATGATGACTAACTTGGGAGGGAAGTTCCTAAATTAGCAAAGCTTAAAATGGGAAGTTTTCTTAAAGGGTTTATCTATTTTAGTAGCTGTTTTATATATGTAAGATATAGATTCATATTTAAGTTATTGTTTAGCAACTAATTTGGTACGACGCTACAACTTCTTAACGGCATTTACTTCTTAGTGCTGGACATTCTCTACCTTCTGTTCGATATACGACTCTTTTCGACATTAATAGGGCTGCCAACTGATTTGCAGAACGCCACCTCACATACATTCATACATAAATATTTTTAAATACAATGTACTTTTAAAGGCAATGAAATTCCATAAAATCGAAATAAAAATGTATTCCCTTTGCATAAAATCCTCTTTAATTCAGAGACAGAAACAGGACACAGTAATACAATTTATTTAACTATTTGACAACCAAAAAGCTTACCCACAATTGACATAAACAAATTGTGAATATTTTCCGGTAAACTGTGTCCCACTAATGACGTGATAAATTTCAGCTCCTCGACTTTTTCGGCTGTATTTGTATGCAGGAAAAGCCGCTACCCATAAATGTCCTCATATGAGAACATGACCGCGAGGGAGTCCCGGACTCCCGCTGCTCTGGCTCTGACCTGTTGAGCCAATCGGACCGACAGGGCTAAAAAAATAAATACACAAATATGTATTTATTTATGTGGCCCAAGGAGGCGGCCCGGCAAACGCTGAATGAATAAAATATTTGGCATTACAAATTGTTGCGATTTTTTTGTTGGCCGTCGGCCCAAAAGGGATGTACGGATGTGGATGTGGATGCGATTGCGGATGGTGTATGCTCAGTGGGTGGTGGTTGTGTGGGTGCAACTGTGGCAACAAAGTAACGCTGAATTATGCGTTGACCAGGACCAGGAGATGCGAGAACGGAGGACCAAGGATCCAGTGCCGATGGCGTCGCTGTGTTGCCATTACTGTGTGGCTGGCGACAGGCCTAAAAAATAAATAAAACAATTTACCTTAAGGCATAATAAAAGTTCATGGCTGACAGTGCGAGTTGGGGAAGGGAAATGGGTGAAAGTTGCCAGGGTAACAGTCGTCGTCATACAGTGCAAAAATAACTATAGGCTTATTTGGATTAAAAGCTGTTGCTTCTTAGCGGAGATTAAGGCTTAAACATAGCTTTGGGAAACTAAATAAATGCTTTTTAAGTTCAGTTAGTTGAAACATTAAAATTTAAGTTAAATTACATAGTTATATACTAAGTAAAGCCTCTTAAAACTGTTCGTCAAACTCGTTTAAGCACCAAATAGTGATATTCCAAAAATACAGAAAGGAATGGTTTCCTCAGTTCCAAAATAAGTCCTTAAGTCCCAATCATAGATTTTTCATGAAATTTTTAAGATAAATGAACCAAAAATACTTAAAAGAATAGTTTAATCTAAGAGTGTGCTTAATTTATAAGAAAATTCTATACATCTTCCTTTTTTCCCTGTGCACAAGACTTTCCGAATGGCAAATAGCAGCCCAGCAAGACAAAGTCAATATTTGATGGCAATTTTCGGCTGCGTTTCCAATAACCATTACGGATGGCAGATAGCAGGGAATTGCGAACATTTTCCTCACAGCATTTCCACAGCATTTTGCACAGCGGGTTAAAACAAATAGTTTCCAGCACTACAAATACAACACTTCCTCTGGACAAACGCCTTGGCTATAGAGACCTCATATCATATCAGAGACATGGAGACTCCAAACGAAGTCGCAATGATATCCCGCTGATATCTCACAGCAGGCGGCCTTTACGGATCTGAGTTGGAATCTATTTCACAATACTTTAAAGCCTGTCCCCTCTCTCGTTGTAATATTACTTGGGCTACAGTGTCGCCACCACCCCCAGCATTCCGACTAAGCCTCGTCCGTTGGCCCGTCTTTGTGTCCTGCTTTTGGCTCACCCACCATCTAGCAGGAATTCCAAATCCGCTCTTAAAGGATTTGTGCATCATCGTTTTGTGCGCTGCGCTCATCATCGTCAGGATGGCATCAGCTTTTGGCATCCCAGAATCAGAATCAGGCGTCAGCATTGTGCTCCTTTTATGTGGCTCACACTCTCTCTCTCCGTTTTTTTCATATTACACGGCATTTGGCTATGACTATGACGGACATTCAAATCTTTTTTGAGCTGGAAACTGTTTGCTGATTCCGCCTTTTCCATTGTGCTGCACAAGAAGTGATTCTGGTGGATATGGACACTTAAAGGCGAATTATGTCGTGGTTGTAAATCGGTTAAATCTGCTTCCAAATGGCTGGGTTTTAGGGTTTTTTTTCTTAAGAATTTACCTAGAATGTGTTAAATGCTTTTGCCTAAATGCATGACAAGATAATCTTAAGCTGCAGCTAATAAATAAGACCATAAGTTCAACTTAAGACTCACTTGATCCGAGAGGAAACTTTAAAACACGAACAAGACGAGCAGCTACTGTTTGCAAATGGATCAAGGATATTTACCAGAGGCACGGGCTAGATATTCCTGAGAAATGTAAACAGCGCAAAATGCAAACAGTTCAAATCAAATAGCACACACATATACTCATACATACACACACAACTTGGCTAAAAGCAATGCACATCCACACACATTTAGCTCTCTGTACATCAGAACGAACATTTCTGCAAACAGAATGAGGGTGAGCAGGGGGCGCAAAATGAGCAAACGAC